CCTAACGCTTCTATTAGGTCCATATCTTTAATACGTAAGTGTTTAATCATGTTAAACAGTGTCAACCCATTGGTAAATTTCTCATTAGGCATTTCTTGGCATTTCGCCGTGTCAATTAATATAAAAATAGCACCTACAAAGTCAGATGGATACATAACCTCACTCGCTTGATTGTTCGGATTATGTCCGTAGTCACTGTACCGTTTTCCGTGTCATTTGCCGTCACCGCTAGCGGTTCACGACATTCCGTTACCTTTCCGTTTTCTGTTTCTCCTTCAAATTCTACTGCCATCTCATTGTCACTAACACTGTCACACTCATTGTCACTGATCTTCCCCTCATCCGAAGTATTCAAGGAATCCCTGAATCTGATGAGCTCATTATTTTTCAGCTTTTTCACCAAATTTTCTTCTGCATTTTTTTTTAATTTTTTCCCCCTCACCCTATTGGCTTTCGAGAGGGCCTCCACCAAATCCACCGAAGACGCCACCGACCCTGCAGTCGGCGACGCCATATCGGGCTTTGGCTTTTTTCCCGCCGTTGGCGGCAGTCTTATGGTTATGAAAACCACTAAGCGACACAAAAATGTCTAACCGCACTTCACAATAAAGGAAATATAACAAAATTACTCACCAGAGCCGTTTATCACGTCTTGCGGTTAATTAATTGTAGTCCAATTTAAAGATGAGTGAAAAAAAAAACACAAAAGCGAAAATGGGCACTTGTCTATCTGTCTGCTATAAGCGTTTGTTATAGCGTAGATATATTAAAAGAAACTTGTGTTGCTGTACTTAGCACCTCAGAGTGCCTATGCGCTAGAACTAAAAGAATATGAGTATTACTGCGCCAAACCACGTCCACACTCGTTCACCGACGAAAAGGAAGTGAATGCCAGATTTCCTGCAAATACATAGCCCGTAGCGCAGAAATCTGCGGAATTTAGATATTTCCGTGTCAGCTGATTTCCTCCTTCTTTAGATGGTTGCCACTTCGTCAGTTTTGCAGATGGTAAAAAGGTTATAAGTTACCTACAAGAACAGGACTTTTTTTCTGATCTCTGGTTTTGAGAAAAAAGTTTCATGAACGAAAGACACAAGATCACATAAGAACAAGAGAGTGAAAAAAGACGATTTTTTTAGCGGGTTCTACGCCATCTTCTTTCATTGGAAAACGAGCGAAAAGTAAACAAAGCAAAGAAAACAACGAAAACCCAAATTAGCCAAGATTATTGTCAGCCACTTTAAGCGCACAATTTAGGTAAAATGATGTAATAAAATGCTTGAAAATGTGTTGTCATGTTGAATTAACTCTTCTTTACTTAAATAAAAGTGTAAAATAGTGGTGCTTGTGATGTAAACAAACCCTCAGCTGACGAACCCGCTTTCGCAAACTTTTTTCTCAAACCCAGTTACAAATACAACGTCGCGTTCTTACGTGATCTTGTATTTTTGGTTCATGAGAAAGTTTGCGAAAGCGCACATTCGTTTTATGTCAATACGCAAGCCGCCATTTGCGCTGGTTGTGAAATCAAGAAACAAAATATTTAATAAATAAAATATAACTGTTATATAACTAAGGGGAACAGTAAAAAAAATTAAAATAACTAAATAATTTAAATTGATTTGAATTGTACATAAGGTGTATGTTCGTGTTGATTTGTCTAATACATAGTGTCGTTTACTAAGCAAGTACAAAACTTGAATACTAAATATCTCAAAAACTAAAAGGCTCCCGCACCAAAAAGTGGGTATATCTGAAAAGTGGAGGACTCCAGCTTTCCAATGGTATCACTTTTAATCCCCGAATCGGGGGTCTCCATTTCAAAGTGCACCCGAAATAAATGCATTTTCGAATGTGAAAAAGGTTGTATTACTGATTATTTTTTTGATTACTATACATTACATTTTTCCACTGGGGTTGTTTTGTACTTCTGATCAACTGAACAGTTGCGTGTTAGATGATGGTAATATTTTTCTGATCATTTGAGAAAACATGTTTGAGAGTTGAATTTGACAGTTAATTCATCAAGCGGGGGGAGGAGGGGGGTGAAATAACACAAACGGCAATACCGCAAATTTGTGTTATTTCCCAATTGAATGTGAAATAACACAAATTTGCTTTATTTCATTTCTCGTTGAGCAATAAGTCCAACTTTTATACTTAACAATTTTAGTAATAAAGCAAAATAATGCACATATATAGGTAGTCACCCAGTTACATTTGACAAAAAGTAGTACATGAACAAGTTAAATGGACGGATTTGTAAGTATACAATTTTGAAAGTGCCCGGCGTCGCGGCGGTCCGCGTTCGCGCGGCGCCCCGCGCCACACCGCGCCGCGTTCGACGTCGCGCTCGTGTCCCCCGCCCCTCCTTTCGCAATTATGTACTGGTGGCATTATAGCCGTTTAGAAAAAGGAAAAATGATAAAATAACACTAGTTCACTTCTGAAACTGCTTTTTAATGCCCAAGTAATGGGAATTATTGTGTATGGTGTTATTGCATGCTGCATCCCACCCAGGTGCCACTGCTTTATTTGAAAATTTGCCTATAAAATGTGACTATCCATTTAACTTGTTCATGTACTACTTTTTGTCAAATGTAACTGGGTGACTACCTACATGAACGAAAGACACAAGATCACGTAAGAACAAGAGAGTGAAAAAGTCGATTTTTTTAGCGGGTTCTACGCCATCTTGTTTCACTGGAAAACGAGCGAAAAGTAAACAAAGCAAAGAAAACAACGAAAACCAAAATGAGCCAAAATTATTGTCAGCCACTTTAAACGCACAATTTAGGTAAAATGATGCAACAAAATGCTTTAAAATGTGTTGTCATGTTGAATTAACTCTTCTTTACTTGAAGAAAAGTGTAAAAGAGCGGTGCTTGTGATGTAAACAAGCGCTCAGCTGACGAACCCGCTTTCGCAAACTTTTTTCTCAACACCAGTTACAAATACAACGTCGCGTTCTTACGTGATCTTGTATATTTGGTTCATGACTACCTATATATGTGCATTATTTTGCTTTTTTAAGGTTTTCCAGCAATGTCCCTGCAAAAATCGCGACTACTCCATGCATGCATGTAAAGAGTAATCCCGAAGGACCAAGGAGTACTCCAAAATTAACCACAATTTATATAAAAAATATGGTCCAATTAACATTGCGATGTCCTAGGGCAGGACCATATACTCCATCCCTGCATTACATCAGAGTAGCACAAAACTACTCCCAACATACTCCAATGACATTATCGTTTTTTTTTCGTTTGTGCATGCTTTTGTTCTTCACTTCGCAGATGCTTTTTTTGAAATTAATAAAAACCAGAAACAAAAATTAAAAATTACATGTTGCCTCTGACGACATTCGAACCCGAACATGCTGGGAGCTAAGAACTAACAGCTAGCATCTCTACACGTTCAGCTACAGCCAGACATGCAAATGTACTTTCAAATGCTTAACTTCAATCACATGTCGTTAAAACACGAGCAGTGATCGGGTAACAATAAGCTGGTGCAGAGACACGAGTTGGTCCGCTACAGCATGACAGAGGAGCACTTTTGTAAGTACTCCAATATACCACAAATAGACTACATGGTCCAACGATTTTTGCAGGGGTTTTTAACATATTAAAAAGCAGAAAAAATTCATACTAAAGCGCTATGTCCAATATACGGAGCAGTTTTTAAAGACGATTCTTTTCCTATATTTTGTTAGACTTTTCATAAGTAAACATATTTTGTTAATATTACTTTCTTCATATGAATTATATCACATGTTTTGTTTAATTCAAGGCCTATCAAACAGGTTTGGAGCATTTGAGCAAAAACAACATTTGCCTGTATTTTGTTGTTGCTTCTGGTATCGAAGGTGCCAAAAACTGTTCCGATTTTTTCTTCTACATCAAAGGGTATCATGCGAAATACGAAAAAGGTAAAAAATTTAAATTGAAAAAATTAAAATTGTTGCAACTTTCTTTCTTAAGAAATTGGTTCGCTTCTCGAAGCATTGATCCATCCTGTGCCAGGCCCAGTAATCAGCGGGCGGTTGTGCTGCTGAGTTGGGCGAGCTTTCCAAAAGCTGCTATTTAATCGCTGGTTTTGTTTGGAAAATGTTTCACATGCAAATAGATTATAACAATTTACAATTTTTGTGAGAAGAAATATAAAATATTTGACATTTTCGAGAACAAATAATTTGAAAAAAAAAATCAAATCAGCTGCTATACTGATATTACCTGTTCAATGTGCCTTGGTTTAATTGTATTTTTGAAATAAACAAAGTTCTTGTTCCTTCTGTCAGTAATTTGTTTTTTTTTTTTACAAACAGTATAAATAAGCAATGGGAAATAATGCAAAATTTGTTTTATTTCCAATCTTTGTTGGAAATAAAGCAAAACTCAGATTTTGGTATTATTTCCGATTTAAAAGGGAAATAAAGCAAATTTTGCGTTATTGCCGTTTGTGTTATTTCAACTCCCCCTCCCCGCCCCCCTTCCCCCTCACGCATCGTCCGTTCAGAAGACGCATAACGATCACTAAGTTTTTTAGCAACGGTTGCGCTCAACTGTTGCCCCTCGGAACCTAGCCACTTTTACGAGGGGTTCGTAAAAAGAGCACCATACAAATTTTGACAGTTCTTTTACAAGGCTCCTAAATTTACGAGGTTTACGGGGCGACCCCTATTATAGCAGGCCTCCGTATCGATCGTTTCTCAGCTAATACAATCTCAATGGTTCTGCAAACCCAAATCAACCAGCTAGTAATTAAGTTCAAAACAAGATAAATTTTAGTTTGAAACAACCGTAATTTTTTCATAAATCTTAACAAAGCATATTACAGTAATTTCTAGAATGCAATGTAATTGGGTCTTTGCCTCCTTTCTATTTTATTCTAGATCAATCGCGGATAAAATTCTTTCTTCCCTATCAAGGGTAATTATTTATGCCCAACAAAAACCAACACTGAACACACCACGTATGATAGAGAAAAAGTAAAGAGAATAAAGATTTACCGATTCAATGTGTTAAAAATCAACAGAAGTCAAATTAAGTTTCCTAAATAACAAAATTACGCGTTTATGCAGACGATAATGTTCCATAAATAGCAAGGAAGGTATTGGAGCAACGCCAACACTGTGCTAAGAACAAACAAGCCAAACAAATACGATAACAAGTGATGCACATAAACAAGGAAGAAGAAAAAAATATATAGAAGTGAAAACATTATTAAATACAAGCAGAAAACTGTTTGGGTAGCATCATTTTCATTTCGAAAGTGCACAAACTTTGTGCGTCTATGTGAGCAAAGCAGGATAACAATATTTGGCAAGAACTGAATAGCAGTTCATACTACAAAATGTCTGAGGAGATTGCGGGCAAACTGCATAAACTGGAAATTTCTACAGCGGAACTAGCCCACTTAGGAGCTCTTAATCTTATTGATTCTACAAATTTTCCACTCGCTTTAAATCCATTCTATGATGAGGAAACTGATGCCAGTGATCTAAAGCTTGAAGATAGCCAGTCAACATCGAATACTAAACTATTGCAACGTAGTCATCAGGGATGTAGACGTTGCAGATTGCGACGCCGGTCAGAGAGTGTAGCAGACGCGTATAAATCGGCGACCAAGGCCCTGTCTACGGATCCTTTGGATAACACGTGTTGGACGCATTCTACATTAGGAGTTCAACGGCAATCCTTAAAGCACCGTCGCAATATTTTGCGCCCTCCAGTCCTTCGAAAACTTCAAAATCTTCAGAAATTGCTTCAGACATTGCCTACAGAAAATACCGATCATACGTCAACATCTACTGTGGGAAAAACTGTTATTTCATCAATAGATAATGCAGTCTCATCGAGTACAAGTCGTGGAATTTGTAATTTCCGTGATTTAATTCACGAGTGTCAGAATTTATTGGAATTGGAAAACGATGTGAAAGGTCGATTTGGTTTAGTTAGTCCAGATCAACAGTTTTCCAAAAATTTTACAACTATGCAGCCATCTTTGGCCAAAAGAAGTCTATTTAGTAACAGGGAGCGAACAAGTTTTGGTGTAAGTGGCATACAACCATATTCACCGGAAAAGAATACAGGAGCCAGTACTCGCTCAACTGCCAGCACGTCATGTTCGCAACAAGCAGGCAACGGTGTCGGCACAGTGACTAACAGTAATGGCAACGGCGATGATGTGACCATCGATGAACTTGCTAGCTATTTTGATACATTTGTGCACATACCGAAGAAAATGTCAACAATGGCTGAAATGATGTACATATGAAGATGAGGAGTAAATATATAGTGATAGGCATGAAAACCATGCAGTTTTTAATAATTAAACGCCACTTCTGTGTAATGGCGTTCGCAAATGAACAAACGGATTACTGAAGCAAACTTCAGTAAAAATGGATTTTATCAAAGTATTCAAGCAAAATAGATAGCGTTGTGCGTATCCACAAAATTTACAATTTATTTTCCTGATTTTCTTATAATGGCTATAAAATATAGAAATTTGAATTTATATTATTATTTGTATGGTACATATGAATGGAATTTGATTTATGTATATTAATTATAGCTGATGTATGTATGTAGCTTATAATAAACTATATTAAGCACTACGTTGGGTATATCAATAACTAGCCAAATAGGTATCACTAGTAGATTCGATTTATTGCTTTAAAAACAATGTTGAGCTATGCGATTTAAGAAAAGTTTAATTTATGTACTCGATATTTTGCGCCATAAACACTTCCAAAATAATTTAAGGTACTCTGCTAAAATTGATATCGTGTCTTCGCAGTTAAATGATAAAAATAGTAGTAGGACATTTTCGTGGGGTTTCAAAACTAATGATACATATCCATGGTTAGCTTAATGCAAAGACATAGTTTCTACATTCCTATATCAATATGTATGTAGTATATGCTGTTACGCATAAATTTCCAAAGGGATTTTGGTATATATCTTAGCATACTTTTAGGCATAATTCAATTCCACCAGGCTTTTATGTTGCGCAATAATTGGCATCCAATATCAAAAAATTTTAACGAATTGTTACCGGTATTTGCTGCAAACGCACCGCACACCTTAAACAGACCTTGCAATAACCCAAACAATTTACAGGAGAGCGAATTCGAGAGCGTAACCACCCGAGAAAGCAGCAAATTCTTGCAAGTTAAAATTTGACTAGCAGGAATTTGCAGGTGTTAAAAAACAAGGCTATATTCCAAATTCAAATCTGAACAAAGTGTATAAAAGGATGATTTGATGAAACAAAGTTAGTGAAACGAAAATATGGATGAAGAATTTAAATCTAATGTATATTTTCTGATTTTTATGACGATGGAAATTATTAATCAAAATGAAAATTCAATAACTTTTGTCGTAATTTTCTCTTCCTCCATTTTACTGTTATTGAATGGACCTAGTTTTTGCAAACCGTAGAGGTAAAACGGCTATGATTGATATTTTATTAAAATCCCGAACATGGTCTCAAAATCTAGCGATAATATAAAATTTTGTTTGGAAGCAAACCAGGGCTCGAATCGTAACATCCGTTCACTGATTACGTGATACGTCAGGCAGTATAAGCTGAATGAGACACAGAGTACGTTCACGTATGCCATAATCCGAAAAATGGGTTTTTACGTGACGAGTAGTACGATAACGTATGTGACGATTCGAGCCCAGTTTTGGCGTCATACAATCTTTATTGTTATGTTTCAGAAACTTATTTTTAACGATTAAAGAAAGTATAATTTCATAGAAACGCAATCATCCCTATTGCGATTGTCGACGAGTAGCAGATAAGCGACTGTTAGTCGACTATCGATTATCCGCGGTATTTTCAAGGCGTTTTCTTGTTCAATAAGTGTGAAAAGTTTATAGTCGCCCATTCTTCTACAAACAAATATATGTAGAAGGATGAGCGATTAAACACCATTCATAGTCGCTTGTTGAACAAGAAATCCACATTCACAATACCATAGAAAAGTCGTTTATCTACTACTAGCCGACACTCGCAATAGGGATGATTATTTTAAAGAGCCTTAAAAGTTAATGAGGCTATAAGGATTTGATCTCTTATAATCCGAACACTCATTGTAAACTCACCCTTATGGAACCAAAATACACCCCTGCTAAGCTGATGCAACTCTGTGCATTTTATCTTCGTGTGGAGCAAAATTGTGATTTGACGTTGGAGCCGACTCGATTTTATTCTCCATTCCCCATCCATTTGTGCGGTGTTAAATTATACACGTCTTGCGGTTTTGTTGCTGATTGAACTTTAACGTTAATTTTTTTTATATTCACGCTTTTTTACGTGCCTGTTTTAAGGAATTAACAAAGAAATGGTAAGTGTATTACATAGTCAGTTGACACTCCAGGATAACGAACTGCGTTGCATTTTGTATCACCAGCGTATCTGGTTCTCAATATGACTTTATATAAGGAACAATTTGATATTAGCCTGGAGAAAAAACACTCCAATACTATTTAACATTCATTTGACCTTTATACTCTGCAAATACATAGAGTAAACGATAGAATCAGTAATCCATATAGAAAATATACAAAATACACTTTTCCAGCAAATACATATGAATATGAAGTGGCTGACATGCACCGCAATTGATGATTGCAAAGTTTGTGCCATTGTCGACCAAGCTACTAATTCCCGGCGATGCGCCACGTCGCGATTAGCAATCAAATGTCTTGTGTATATATGTAAGCTCATTCGTTTGAGATTGCTATGTGTGGGAAACAAGCATACATATAAGCATGGAGCCCAGCGAATCACTTCTAGCAAATTACAGGTGAATAGAATGCAAAGAGACAATACCAATTGTTTACCACAAAACAGGTGACCTTGCAATCATATCAATTAATGCAAACAAATTTCGCCAAAAGCATACCGGCCGGCAATGTAAAAGATCTACAATTTAAAACAATTTTATTTCTAATGTATGTATTTTAAAAATACATGCATCAATTTCTTTCATTAGTGTTTTTTATAGAAATACCTAGTAATAGTAGTGAGTCCACCTTAGTTTAAGTGTGCATTCAATACTTACACATACATAACCATTATACTACACCGATTTATATATGCATTGGTTCTTATCAGCATTTAAATGTATTGCCTAAATCAGGTGATTTTATAGTGCTTAATCATTGCGGAGAACAGCACAAAACATGCCCTATTATAATTAATAATATAACAATTTGAGTTTGCCGGAAGTAAGTACATATGTACATAGATATGCACCAGAGTTGTAAAAAATGCATTAATTTTGTAATGCGTTACGGTACGTTAATTACCATTAAGCCATAAGTTTTTACGAATTTGCGTTTTTTTACTCACTTCCAGTAAAATCCAGTAAAAGTTTTTACGAATTTTCGTGTTTTGGCGTTTTCGTACACAAAAACTTGCAAAGTAGGGGAAATTGAGAGAGCGAAAAATGACAGTTGAAGTGCAAGTTTTTACTGGATTTTACTGGATAAATTTTTACTTGTAAGAATTTGCCAGTACGAAAAACAGCTGATCGCATGTTGCTGGATGAAATTTAAACTAATAAGGAAACTGTTTGTGGGTTTTTATTGTTGGATTTCACAAATCAAACCTATTTAAATAGAAAATATATTGGTGCATATTCATAGTCATATTTAGTTCACAACTAAGTCGAAACTATCCTAAGTTACAACTAAAGCTATTCATAGTCGCCTTAGTTTCCACTTTTATGGCTAAGTACCAACTTAAAATTTAGTTTCGGCTGCAGCTGCAATTAAGTCGTCACTAGGAAGAAGTATTTGATTAAATTAAAGAAAAAATACGAAATATGTAAAAATTAAGTGAAACTTACAAAGAGCGATCCATTTGAATCGGAAGATGAAATGAAATGCGTATTACAATTCGAATAAGGCTACATCACAATTTTATAATTGGAATGATTTACATATATAAATGCTAAAATAATAAGTCAATTTCAAGCTTGTTCTTTTAAAGCAAATTAGTGCATAACATTTAGATATGTGTTTGTATGTTTCACAGCATGCTTTCGACAAACATCAACTTCACATCATTGCGGTAGTTCTGGCTATTTCACACAATTAACAAGAAACTTATACCTTATTCTTTTGCATAAACATGCAATGAAAGTAAAAATTACATAAACGGATTTTCAAACTTGACATTATTTAATAAAAATGAAATTTTTCCAAAATATCGTAAAGAAAAATCGATACATTTTCACACTCGTTTTGCAATATCGTAAAACTAAGTTAAAACTACTTAGTAGAAGTCTTAAATGCGACTATGAATAGAAGTGAATTATAAGTTGGTACTTAAATTTAAGTTGCAACTTTATTAGTTTCGACTTAGTGGCTGGACTATGAATACGCGCCATTGTTTTATTAGGAATTTGCTGCGAATAAACATCCAATTTATCAGCAGTTCATGAAACTTGCAAATTATTACTGGAATAGCGTTCGCGTACTTTTTTGCAAATTTTTTCTATGAGAACTATTAGAAATAATACTTGCGTTCGACAAGTCAAAAATTTGTAAAAGTTTTTCCAAATTTTAACTGGATGGCGTTCGATAACGACAAAAAATTATTAGTTGCGTTCGACAAGTCAAAAATTTGTAAAAGTTTTTCCAAATTTTTACTGGATGGCGTTCGATAACGACAAAAAATTATCCAACACACAAAAATTGAGAGAGCAAGCGTTCATTTTGATGCAAGAGAAGCGTTCATTTTACACTGGCAAAATTTTAGTCAACAAAAATTATCCAACACGAAAACATATGATCACAAAACATATGGTTGTAATTTTTGTAAACAAACAAAATTGCGGTTTTCGGTTTTTGGTATTTATATGCTTTTTGGCTGCCTGCTATGTGACTTTAAGATAGTGCCAACTAGTTTTTACTTCTAGAAATGTTCCTGGTGAACATTGAACGTTCACTTTCATTTTTTCTTCCATGGAGGCAACATGAATTTCAGTATGTTTACAAATAAAACATAAACAAAGTCAGCTGGTGTGTCTTCTTCTTTCGGTTTTTGCAAGTGATGGCTAATTTCCTTTTTTTGCTTTTTCTTTTCTTTGGGAGAGAATTTTCGCTTAGGTCGGTGTTATGCAGACAAACTTTTGTTTGCCAAATTAAATGGCGGCTGCTTAGTTTGCTCGGAGGTGGTTATGTCGAGTTTGGCACAGGGTTGCACGTTCATTATGGTTTTCATGGCTATTGCCAACACGAAATGAGAATTTCAGATGTACATAACGCGCACAATTTAAAATTTTTGTATATGACAACACCGAATTTGCTGCAGTTTGACCAAACTAAATTAGTTTGCTGTGAGAGTCGCCAAACTCGCTCTCTCGCTCTCTCGGAGTTTGCTACAACAACAATTGCACGCAGTTTGCCAAACAAAATTTCTGCATAACACCAACCTAACGCTCTTGATTTTGATTGTTGGCTGGTGTTGGCTAATTTTGTTATCGAACGCAACTAAAGTTACTGGATAATTTCTAAACAAACACAACTAATGTTTATGTAAAAAATTAATGCATTTATTTTTGAAATTTTGTGCAGATAAAAATTGCAATGAAATAATTTTGAAAATCAAATGCCTAGTAAAATATTAGTGCATTAATATCTGAAATATATAATGCTAATGAAATTTGTTTTCATTAAATTATCCAAACTTATGCTAATGCTTCACGCATTTGACTTTTTAATAATTTTTCTTGTTTGCATTATTAAAGATCATGTAGGTAGTTATTCTAGGAAGAACTATTTATAATTACTAACATTTTTTCAGCTTAATTCTATTATGTTTATTTCTAAAATAAATCTTGTAAACATTGTTAGATGTTTTATGAAAATAAAAGCAATTTATTATTTTTTGTTGCATACGGACTATATAATATACATACATATTATAGCAGTACATGTACACGACCAAAGAACTATTTTGATCTAAATCAATCAATAAACCATTTCTTATTTCCTTTTGACAATGTGTTTTTACCTATTTGACGACAAATGTTATTGATTTTGGCATAGTGTGCCGCATGAATAAAACCAAGGCGAATTTATATACTATCACCTTATATTAATTCGCCTTGAATAAAACCTAAGGAAATGCCAAGGTGAATTTATATATTATATTATATTTTAATTTAATATAATATATTATATATTAATTCGCCTTGGGAAATGCTTTTTTTTTTAATTTCAGACCTACTCGATTTACTCAAATAAATTTAAGTGATAGGTATGAAATATTAAGTAAAAGCAATTGCTTAGTTTTTATGCATACGGCCCAGTGAAACCAACTTAACTTCCGCCACTATCTTTTTTGAACTCAAAGTTCTACCCTCAACGTCAACGAACAATTTTTACTTCAAATTAAAATTAGTTAATGGGTTTTTAATGCTTTTTATACTTTTATTGCAATATCATGAACCGTTTTTTTTGAAATTTCTTACACCTGCCGCACACGTCCCAAGGATGGTTAGAGGCTAAAATAATTTCGTTATATAAAGAAGGCGTGGCACC